AAGGTTGGCTAAGGGTTTGTCAATTTTGTTGATTTGAAGAACCAACTCTTGGCTTCATTGATTTTTTGCACCGTTCTCTTAGTCTCCATTGCATTGATTTCTCCTCTGATCTTTCTTCTGATTTTTTCATACTTCTGGTCACTGAATGAAATGTAAATTTCTATTCTATCTATTAAATTTTATATTTCTGCTTGAAACAAGTAACATTGTTTGCCTTTTTCTGTATAAACCTCAATACTTGCTCTAATCCATAATCTTAAGGGAAATGATTTGTGTCCTTTATTAAATTGGCAGAGGCATTGTCATTTCTGTGTCGCTGCAGTTGGGGAGGAGGAAATAGTGGTAAGGAGCAAGAGCCCTGCCTGACTCCTTCTCTAAAACCTTCAAATTATCCTCAAATCCTGGCTGCATCTGAGAAACACTCTTATCAGGTGGAGGCACCAGGCAGAGCAGATGGGGCAGCCCAGCCTCACACTTCTCCTTCCCTGGGTGGTTTATGTCATGGCTTGTATCACTGTGGGAGGGGAACTATAATCCTGGTGACAGTAATAAGTTGAAACATCTTCAAGCTGCAGGCTGCTGATGGTGAGAGTGAAATCTGTCCCAGATCTACTGCCACTGAACCTGGAGGGGACCCCAGACTCCAAAGTGTTTGCATAATGGATTAGAAGTTTAGGAGCTTTCCCTGGTGTCTGCTGATACCCGTGTAAATTATTGCTAATACCCTGGCTGGCTTGGCAACTGATGATGACTGTGGGTCCTAAAGATGCAGACACAGATGGAGAGTGGGTCAACTGGATGTCACATCTTACCTCTGATAGTGGAAACATAAAAACAAATATTTACATAATTAATCACAGTGCAAAAGAAGCTCCCTAAAAATTCAGATGGCTCTCACCATACAGTGCTACCCTACCTTACCTGGAAGCCAGAGGAGCAGGAGCCCCACTAGCTGAGCAAGTGCCCTCATGACCATGCTGTGTCCTGACTGGTACAGACTCCTGCACAAGGTGTGAGCAGCCTATGAAGAAGTCCTCAGGGCAGTAGGCTGTGCTCTGGGAACATGCAAATCAACAGGGCTGGACTGGGCTGGGCACAGTTGCAGTGCTGATTCTTCTCATTGACTCTCCAGAGTCCCAGTGCCCCCAGGTGTCCCAGATTAGACCACACTGGTATATATTTCTTTGCAGTGTATATTTTCTCCCTTGTTCCTAGAGAACAAAATCAGTTAGCTTTTCTTTATAGTACTGTGTTTCTTTGCTCTCTCAGATGCTCATCACATTTACTATCTTCCCATAGAACAGAGGGCCTGCTAGGCATAGAACAATCCCACAAAAATCACAGTTTTTTTTT